CTCTCCCTTCTGTGATGCGGCTACTGGCCATTTTACCTGCCAATCGACAGGTGATGATCGATGATGACCAGCGTTTGTGTTGCCCTTTGTGCGTCGCCTGTCTGCGGCACGACGATTGGCATCTTCGATTGGCATTTGAAGCTGCTGTCCTCTTGTCTCTTTTCCTCTTTTTCTTTTCTAATGCTAATAGAATTAGCCTGCCAAGATTCTGATTAGGCGTGAGAAATCAAACATAGCAGTGTTTTTGCCGTCGTGATGTTGCTAACTGTAGGTAGTTAGCTGCGCCAGAAGATAGTGGCAGACAGTGCCGTCTGTCTATGCTAATTGGCGGAGATGGACATGTGTGAACTTGACATTGAAAAGCGGTGGCACTCTCTGTGTGAGATGACCAGTGGAGTGCAATGGGCGCTCGGTCAATGGCAGCTGAGAGAGCGTCAGTGAGGCATAGAGCAGATACAGTGACTGTATGGTATGGCACACACACACAGTCAGCGTCTCTCACTTACTGGATCACTGAACCGATTGAGATTGGCACCGTTTCACTGTGTCCAATACCACTGCTGACGGTGCTGTTCTCTAATGAAGCAGCGGTATGCACTTCCCAAAAAATCGTGCTCTTTCTCTTGCAGCCACCGCCGAGTGGAAGTGTCGGTGTCTGTGTCGGCGTCTACTCTTCGACTCCGCCGTACGTTTTGTTTCTTCTGAAGGCGCCCAAAAGGAGCGATGCATGACCGTTCCGGGCGGTTTCACTGGTCATGTCTTCCCTTGCGGAACGATGCCTGGTGGCAGTTCTTTGAGGAGACACCAGAAAATCAGCAAAACGAGCAAACAACCAAAGATCAGCCAGCGAAACACAACAAAGATGGCGATGATGATGGTGATGGTGTTGATAGTGGGTACTGCTGAAACTGGCCACGAGACGGCCGCTAGATGGGCGTGCGGAAGGAAGTTGCACTGTTGTTGAAAACAACAACAAATAGTGTTCATCATTTGGCTGTACTCTGTCTGACATTTAGGGGAAATAGTTTGGCATCGTCTCGTGCCGACCATAGTCCAGAATCTGTTCGTGGACACTCAGTGTACGTTCTATATGCTTTTTTGCTAGTGATGTCACCAAAATGAAGACAAATTGGCTTGTGACGCAACCTTACAGTGCAGCTCAGTTGACCGGGCACCCCAAACAACGACGATGGCGACGGCGACGGTGATGATGATGATGATGATGCTCCGGAAATGGACCAGTCGACTAGCAGTGTTGTTAGCTGCTGTCAAACGACTTCCTTGTCTCACTGTTTCGAACCTTTTTCTAGCCACTGTTTCTCTTTTATACTCTAGTTTTACTTAGCTTGTGATTCTGTCGACTCTGGCACAGCGAAATGAAACGGAACGAATCGCAACGAGCTGCAACGATGATCACCCTAATGTCGGCGATGTGTTGCGATGAGGAGTAAGAGGGGGAGGACAGGAGTTACTTGCAGGACGAAGATGACTATGCAGAGTAGACCTTCCACAGAAAGACAGACAGACAGCGAGTGATGCCGCCGAACAAGGCCTGGTGAATGGCGGACACGCGTGTGTCGTGCTGCACTGGGCTGCGGCGTCGCGTGTCCCTGCCGTCTGCCAGTTGTTTGGTTCCAATCATTGACGAAGGAGAAAGCGCCGTCTTTGTGTCCTTTCTCACTTGTACAGTCTGTCTGAATGTGCAGTTTGCAGACTCATCAGTGGCCGCTACTGCTGACGCTCACTTTGGACCGATTGTTGTTCCCAATATAGATGATGTCACCACAAGGCTAATTCACTTTTGCTTCAGTCGGTCGGCTTGAACAGCATGACCTTAAACCTTAACTGCTCTTTTTTTGCTTTTTCATTCACTGCCACTCTACTGCTGCCACTTTTATTACGGTTTTAACTATTTTTTCCTTTTTGAAAAAACATACAAATATTTAAAACTGAGCTTTAGTTACAACAATTGATTTGTCTAAAAGAATCACATTTAAAATTTGGCTTATTATGACACCTTGGTGAACATTTGTTCAACTGTTACTACTTGCCAGTGGTGCTGTTTTGTCGGAAAACACAGTTTTCATTTTTTTCTCAGTTAACCCACATTAATTATCTTTTTGAGGGTCCAATTTGTCTGTCTTCTTCTCTCATTGAAGTGCCCCTTGTTCAAAGTCTTGTTTTGCGGAATGCACTGCTTTGATTGATAAGCATAAAAATCAACGTCCATCTTGTCGGCCACTGGTTTTAAACAAAGCACCTCTCAACACTGAGCTCTTGTCTGAACTGAGTTTGCTTTCAAACTCAATAGAAAGTGTTGCCCTCATCATTTCTTTCTGCTTTTTTAGATCGGCTTTTCTGCCATGTCATTATCGACTTCTCACCGCCAGAAAAGGTCACTGATCAAGTTCACAACGAGCAAAGTTGCCTTTATTTGTCTAATTGCGCAGTCTTTTTGGACTGATTTGTGTGTGAGTGTGTGTGGCCCCTGCGGGAACTTTGGAAGGGAAACGACAGGCCGGCCACCCAGCCAATAAAGTTCAAACATCATTGACACCTCGTTATGGTAAAGCCAGTCACCTGGAAAAGTGTGACATGACAAATTAGAAAGCCCACCGAGTGGACTTGAGTGTGCCTTCATGCTACTAATTGGAGAGACTTGTGCCGCCTTCCTGGGCTGGGCCCAACCTGGGGCCACTCTTGTGCTCGGCCCAGTTGTCGTCGTCTGTCTGTCTTTTGTGCCGTACTGTGCTCACATTGACTATGCAGGCAAGCAGGCAAACACACTGTCCTCTGCAGTATGATGATCATTGGTCAGTGCCTAATAGCTAATGCCATCATTAAGTTGATTGCAGTTTGCCCAACTGCTCACAGCCCAATGTGCCTTTTCTGCCCCTTCGTCATCTTCTTTTTCTTTTTCCATTTGCCTAATGACAAGTCGTCTATTGAGGCAGTGTGATGATGAGAAGGTGGCAAAGTCCCTGGCGATGCAGTCTGAAACACACAAAACTGGTGGTCCAAGAAGAGAGAACCCGAGTCTGTAGAGTGTGCCATGTCGGCACTGGTGTCAAAGGTGAACTCATTAGGTGAATGTCATTGCTGCTCAGTGAACTCAGTGAGTGCGCGCACAAAAACAGACATTACTAGAAGTAAACTTCGACCGGGCCATGGCTTATCATTAAAGTTGCAGGCCACCTTGGCCGATTGTTGCCATTTGCCATAATAGGCCTTGTATTGGCTCCTGCCCTCACCAGGGGATTTCAAGTGTCGAAATATGACAAACCGAGGGCACACACAGGTCATTAATAATAAATTTGCATCACTGAAATGGCACTGTCACTGGGCTGCTAGATTAGACTGCCATTAGGTGCACAAAGGCACCAGTGTACTGGGCAGGAAAGTTTGTCGCAGTTTGGTTCTCTTCGCGCTTGTAGCTTTTTGCTCTTGCAAACTTGCTCTTCTCGCTGAATACACTCGGGGGAGCAGTGAGAGGAGAGGACGACGGAGACTCGGAAGGCACTGCTGCAGCCAGAGCACTACAGCACTCTGAGCTCACTCTGATGACACTCGATGCCGACGATAAGACACATGCGCCACGAGGATCCACAAAACCAGCGATCCGTGACTCGGGATTGGCTGTTCCGATTCTCTCTATTCCCTCTATTCTCCCTCTATTCTCCCTCTATTCTTCCTCTATTCTTTGCCTCTATTCTCTCTTCCTTTCAGTCATTCGGTGCACTGTGGCTGGTGCAGCGCCCTGTGCTCTGCGTAGACGAAGTCGAGGATAGTGCTGAGGAAGACGGAGTTGGTGGTGGCAGTGGCGGTGGCAGTGAAGTGCCTGTGGACACAGCCTCAGCACTGCCGCTCTCACTGGTCTCGGCTGTGTCTGATCAGTGTGGCTCTGCTGCGGACAGTGGGGGCGGGTCTGGCGTCTAAATTTGTCTACGCTTATCTTGGCGCACGCGGGACGTTACCGTTGCCGCTTTCGGGAGGCAGCAGCGGGCGGGCAGAGTGCAGCTCAGTAACGGGCCCAAAGCGATGCGCACTGCCTGTCGCTCTCTCTCTCTCTCTTTCGCTCTCTCTCTCTCTCGCTCTCGCTCTGTCTGCCTGTCTTTCTCTGTGTGGCAAACGGACAAGCGTGCAGAAACTGCNCTCTCTCTCTCGCTCTGTCTGCCTGTCTTTCTCTGTGTTGCAAACGGACAAGCGTGCAGAAACTGCCGAAACTGAGACTGCTGTTGGTGTGAGAGAGAAAGAGAAAGAACCCGAGTGAGTACCGCCACCATCAACTGCCACTGCTGCTGCTGCTGCCACGAATCTGGTGGAGCTATCTGGTCGGCAAAGTCACTTTGTTGCAGTGCCCGTGCAGAGCAGATCGTCAAGTCGAGCACTCGGTTAAATCCGGACTCGGTAGTTCATCTGGACGCCCTCGTCGGCGAATCGCCGTTGCACTCGCTCCGCTCTGCTCGTCAGCACTGTCCATCTCGTTAATTGCTCGGTGCAGCAGTGTGCTTCAGACTGTGCACACTACTGGTCTGCTTTGTTTCAATTCGTTTCACACGATTGAGCCCACTGAGCCGCACCACTTTCATTTTCACTTTGGCGCTCTCACTCTCTCACTCTCCTTCTGGCTCTTTCTTTCTTCTTCCTCGGCTAATCTCTATCTGGTGAATCTCGTCAGTGAGCCTTTCCTGCTCTACTGCCTCCTCCACAGCCCACTGCCGACTGTCACTCTTGGCCAGAGAAGCAGTGATCCATCCATCCATTCATGCGGACATGTGAATCGGTGTGAATCGTTGTGCATCCAAGGATGGGCAGCTATTGATGCGGCCACTCGACCAGTGAACACAGGCACAGTGCTCCAGTGCCCACAGTGCGCACCCATTGAACTGTCTAATTGCCCGCGGTGACGAGTTAATCTGAGGAGTCACTCTCGCCCTCTACGCCCTCCTTCTACCACGTGTCATCATCATCACCTGACAAGTGACTGGTCGTCTGCAAAGATGGACCTCAGTCTATACCGCTACAATGCCTCCATGATGGAGTACTACTCCTGTACTAAGCTCCTGCCCTTACTTTATTCACCTTTTAGTGCACTTTTAGAACACACATCTGATGGCACACCTTGAAACTAACTGCTAACATTTCTTCCCTTTCTTCCTTTTCTTCTCTCCCTCCCTCCACTTTTCATTACCACACAGGTCATGGCGGAGTGAACCAGCTTGGCGGCGTCTTTGTCAACGGCCGTCCCCTGCCTGACGTTGTCCGATCTCGAATAGTAGAGCTGGCGCACCAAGGCGTCCGACCCTGTGATATTTCGCGTCAACTGCGAGTTAGTCATGGATGCGTTAGCAAAATACTTGGAAGGTAAGTCCACTTTCACATCTACCTATTTTGTTTTGCTTTGTTTTGTTTTGACATGCACTAGCAGCCTCTTTGCGGTCCAATTCACTGGTCACGTTTGGGTAATCGTTTGGCTTGGTTGCCGCCGTTTCGGTGCACTGACCAGCGATCGCCTAGTGACCACGTTCCTCTGCTTGCACTGCCTAGGCTTCTGCCCAGTACAGACTGTCTGCTTTGCGCTTCGATACGCAAGGCTTCCACGAGTCTCTGTGGTGGCGGTAGGGTGCTTGTGGGCACCGGTTGGTTAGGTGACGCCACCGAGCGTTTCGCATTGTGTCTGCCTGACGGTGACGACACCACCGCCGGTGGCTGCCGCTTCTCCTGGTGCTAATGACTGGTGCACTGCTAACCACCAGCACAGATCACCGAACACCAGCACTTTCGCCTTCAGTCTCAGTCTCTGTCTCCTCTCTTCACACAGTGTAGCAGGCACTGCACACTTGAGCACATTCCAATCGAAACGGAACGATTCATTCGAGTGAGCACACTGTACACTGCTCATGGAGCGCGTGGATCCATGTCGACTAACCAGCTGATCGAACAGAGCAAAAGAGAAAGCGAGTTAGGAGCTAGGAAGCCAGCCAGATACTACTACTGCCCGTGGTCATGGATCAATAGAGATTGCGATGGTCACTGCACCACTGCCCAGCCCGACCAACTTCCACCAGGAGTGCCCAGACAGAGCACACTTTGCAGAGTCGGATACAGGCAGGTTCAAAGACAGCCAGACAAAGTAAATCGTTCTCCAGCAACTCTTCTCCTGACCATGACTATATATTATTTGCAGTGAAAGTGTTCACTTGTCTGCTTTTCATTCTCCCTTTCTGGCTGCCACCACCAGCACTGGCATTTGTTCCAGCAGCAATCATCAGAGTCGTCGTCGTCGCTGTTGTTTTTCCTGTTTCTACGACTCTATGCACTGCCTGTATGCATTCTGGTAGAGGCTAGCGATGCGTGTCCAAATCACGCTCGGACATTGACAGCAAATTATTTACTTTTAATTCCTTCTATGATTTATTCAAGGCACTGCCATCACTGCCATTGCTCCTTTGGAGAAGTACTAGCGAAAGTCCAGTGCACCGACGGCAGGCAGTCTCCTCTGATCGCCGACTAGCTCTTTCTATTTTTCTCCATTTTATTTCTTTCTCTTTCTTTCTTCACTCTCTATTTTTCATTCTCTTTTCTTCTCTGGTATCGATGCCACCAGACTGCCGCCGTCTGACTGCCACCGTTTCTGCGTCAGCAGCAGCAGGAACAGTAGCAGTAGCAGTAGCACTGTCATCTGTTCCCACTAATTCGACTCTATATGCAGAGGAAACCAGTCACTGCCAATGGATGAGGCAATGAGATTTTCACTTGGCGAACGACAAAGTCACTCCAAGTGGAAGTGCTTCATTACAAATGCTGCTGCTGCTGCTTTTGCAGGCTATAGGGAGGCTAATGGAGATGGCAGGCAATGTGAATTGGCGTCATGAATTATTCACCGCGGCAGGCTTTGATGGAAGGCCTGATGGTAGCCAGGCTGCTAAGCCTCTGGTCTTCTTCATCAAGCACCCCTTCACAAAACACTCTAATTGACTTATTTGCCTCCTCTTCTCTATTACTTTTTTCCATTACACTAGATATTATGAAACGGGAAGCATCAGGCCNGGCCTTCTTCATCAAGCACCCCTTCACAACACACTCTAATTGGCTTATTTGCCTCCTCTTCTCCATTACTTTTTTCCATTACACTAGATATTATGAAACGGGAAGCATCAGGCCCGGTGTCATCGGCGGCTCCAAGCCCAAAGTGGCAACCCCCAAGGTGGTGGACGCAATAGCGGACTACAAAAAGTCCAATCCAACAATGTTTGCCTGGGAAATCAGAGACCGACTGCTCGCTGATGGCATTTGTGACGCAGACAACATTCCCTCGGTGTCCTCCATTAACCGAATAGTTCGCAACAAGGCAGCAGAGAAGGCCAAGAATGTGCACCACTCCTCTTCGCATCATCACAATCTCAGCTCAAACTCCTCAGTGGGCAATGCCTCGCCAGCTTCTGGCTCGATGAGCCCTCAACTGGCCAGTCCTGGGTCGACCACAAAAGAGGGCGTCTCTTCAACTGCCTCCAATCAAACTTCAGTCATCGTCAACTCGCAATCGCAATCTCAACAGCCGATGACCACCTACTCCATCAACGGCATTCTCGGTATCAACTCTTCAGCGGCAGGTTCATTAGGCTCGCCCGATCCTCACCAGCACGGACAGATGCAGTCCCAGCACAATTTACCTCGGGGAATGAAACGAAATCTACTCGATCTCGAAGGTAAGTGAAAGTGGATCCACCACAAAGGAGCACACTGTGATCCATTTAAAACCACATGGCACCGAGTTGTTGGCAAACAAATGGACAGAGAAGCGACAACAGTTAGCAGTTTGTTGGTAATGATATATGGTCGCTATTAGTAGTATGGGAGAGAGAGAGAGAGAGAGAGAGAGAGAGAGAGAGAGAGAGAGAGAGAGAGAGAGAGAGAGAGANAGAGAGAGAGAGAGAGAGAGAGAAAGGTCACAGGCCATCATCAATGCGAATTGGCCGGTTCGTGAAAGCTAGGCCTTTTGCGTAGAGCATTTGCCGGTGAGACTGTCAATGGAGCAGCACTCGGCAGCCAAATGACATCTTGATTATTGTGATTGTGCTCAATTGACTGGGGTGCTTGCCACTGCTGCTGATGTGTTCACTTAATTGAATCAGAGCACAGCGATGACAACGATCCCGCGCCATGATGACGTTTTAATGGGTTCAATTGAATGCTGGCGCGCGCGTGTGTCTGTGTGCCCGTTTGTCCCAGTCAACGTTTGCCACTGTGTATGCACGTGTCTCTCTTTCTCTCTTTTTTTCTCTCTCCCAAATCATGAATAGGTGCTTGGCCCGGTCCCGTGAGTCTATTTAGCTCTTTGGCAGCTCGTTGCATTGTTCGTTTGTGTCAACTGTCTCCTCTTTCTCTCTCTCAGTCTGTTTATGTTTGTTTAGTGCACGCAAAAAGTCACTCATTGATCTTTATGATATTCTGTCCTAGCCTATTCAAACTGCCGTTCTCAAGTGCCAGCCCTAGTAGTCCATCTATCTAATCTCAACTAAACCTTGTTGTTACATTTTGTCTTTTGAAAACCTCCAGAAAACCAATCGCCACATCACCCACCCACTCCGACCAGTTCAGTGTCCGCCTCTGCAGGTGATGACGCCAGTTCAGTGCTGGTGCTAAACGGCAACCACTCCAAGAATGTGTCCTCTGCCAGCAACCCTGCCACCACCTCTCTGCCGCCCTTCTCAGTCGCCGTGGCCGCCGTCTCCGGTGCCTCTGGCGGCGGCTCTCTGGTGCACTCTCCCTCACAGAGCAGCGCAGACGCCAGTACGCCCAACGACGTGGGCGGTCAGCAGCAGCAGCAACATCATCACGGCCAGCAACAGCAACAGCAATACCAGTACCACTGGACAGTGCTCGACCATGGCGGTCCTGCCGGCGCTGATCTGCTCAACCCCAGCCAGCACCTGAACGGCGGCGCACAGACAGGTGCTCTGCTGCACCAGTCGGCGGCCTCCGGTGGGGAACAGCAGCAGCAGCAGCAGCAGCAACTACTGCCGCCAGTGTCCACCAGTGCCCACTCTCAGTCGCACGGAGGCCACAGTGGTGCTCCCCAGGGGAACCACCACCACCAGTCACAACACCACCAGTCGCAGCACCACCAGACGGTACTCACCTCAGGAGGTGGTGCCCCTGCATCGGGTCACCATCCGTCGCACTACGAGACCACCACGCTCTACACACCGCCAATCGGTAAGTGATCATCATCATCTTCCCTTTCACTGTCCTCCTTTATTTTAGCTAGGCCCTCATTTGATTTTGTTTCCACCACCGCTTATTGCCATACCTAGCCAGACTTTGGTAGCCTTGCCATCTGTCTACTGAACAGACGATGCAACAGCAGCTTGAGGACAAGAATAGAGTGGTAATAGTAATAGTAGTAGTAGGAAGCATCAGTTTGATGTGGCGTAGTACAGTCGCACAGTCGCTACAGCTTTTGCCACGTCCTTTGCCTTTGCCTGACCTCTGACCCGGCGGTGGTCGGCAAGCTGTCATTACAAGCGTTATTACGCGTTATGATTGTCGTCATTATGCACTGGCGCGGTCTGTCTGCTCTGATCATCGGACATCAGTGTCGGTCCCTGCTGTTGCTTCTCCTCTCTTCTGCTGTTGTCCTTTCTTTTTTCTTTTTTTACTGCAGCCTCTCTTCTCTTGCCCACTAACCTCGATAGTACCATTTACAGTCGATATTTCCAATTCAAATGCTCTCAAAGTGCTAATTTTGTCTCGTTGTCGCTTCTCACCTCTACCATCAACACAGACGAAATTCATATTTTCAGTCGACAGTTGTCGGTGGTGGTAGCGGACAGGAAGCGTCTTCCCTACTGGTCGTAGTGCAAATTTAAAATTGGCCACGGCTTCTGTTGTGAGATAGTGCGGCGAGACAATCGTCAAAAGTTGCCAGTGGGCAAGCGGTTTGATGAATCAAACATTTGTGAGTAGTTCTGCTGCTCAATTTACTCAATGAAAATTTATCTATCTCTGCCTTCTCGCCTGTTTCCTTATGAGACAACTGAAACAATGCTCATGCTCTGTCAAACTCTTTTTTTGTTGCTGAGAAAACTGGCTTCTTTGAGCAAAGCGAATAATGTAAGAAGCAGTAATTAAATCAGTTCCTAATTGGTCATTTGTCTTGTTTTTTTGTTCACTCCATTTGATTCTGCCAGTGTAATTGGCCATAATTGCTGTAGACCGCACATTCTGCAAGGACAGAGCTAGACAAGTGAGGCACAATCGACGATCACTGGCAATCAGATGCCATCGCCGACGCTGCTGAGCAATAACTAGCAGCTTTTATTGCTAACTGTCTTCATCCCTTTTAACTAGCCGGCTGGGCATTGCCGTTGTCGATGGTGTCGTGGGAATTGACCTTTCCAAGAGTTGCAGAGAAAGGGATAGCTGGCCACTGAGCTACTACTGACATCAAGTCTATCCCAAGTTGCTCTCAACTCTTTTGCAGCGTTCCTCTGCTCGAATTACCCAATTTGCTTGGTGATTAATTGAATTAGTCTCTGCATTAGAGTTTTGCCGGAGTGACCAGTCGGCTCACTACAGGGGAGGTCACTCACCAGTCAAAGTGCAGTGCACCATCACTTCAGAACAGCAGTAGTAGTACGACAGCGCACACAAATCAATTTCACCCCATTTGGGAAGCAATGTCGTCTCAGCTCATTGGCCGCTGAGAGACCTCTGCGGCGCCCCTCCTTGCGCCGCTCGAAGGACACTCCTCACTGCAGCAGTACTCGATTCCGTGCTTTTCCGATACATTCTTCGTTGTTGTTTGTCTTTCTCTGCATGTATCCCACACACACTCCGGCTTGACTTTTCTTCTCTTCCCGGTTTTGCCAGTAAGAGCAGAGACTGCGCCAAAAAGAAAGCTTTGAGATCCTGAGCCATTAGTGGGCACACTGTGGTGGATGACTATTTGACTGCTGCCACTGAGTGGCTGCAGTTTCCTTGCACTTATTTGCTTATTATCTTTGCAATTCATTTTAAACTCATTTCCATGGTCGCACGGCATTGTTCACATTCTCTTGTCTCACTGTCCTGTCGCTGTCGTTGTCGCTGTCTGACTTCATCTCCCGTGGGTTCGGTCACTGAGAGGAGAATGAAGAGCGCACTGGTGACTGCTCTGCACAGTAGCTGCTGCCTTACATCTTCCCTCTTTCTCCCTTTCTCCCACACAAAAGGACCAGAGAGCAGTGTTGCCAATTGATTTATACTCTTCACAAGAGAGCGTGTGCACAGTGGCGATGTTAGTGGTGGTGGTGGCTGTCCTGTTCCAATTGACTCGACGGTGGTCGAGTGGCTGCAGTGGCTAACTCAATTTTGCATAGAGTTCAATTGAGCGATGCTTCGGGTGTATATGGCAGTTCAAGAGCAGTCTGATGCCGTTGTAGTAGACCAGATAGCTAATGGCTTAGAGAGAAGAAGACATGGCGGCTGCATGCGAGATGGCGTCAAGAAATGCTTCACTGCACTTGNATATGGCAGTTCAAGAGCAGTCTGATGCCTTTGTAGTAGACCAGATAGCTAATGGCTTAGAGAGAAGAAAACATGGCGGCTGCATGCGAGATGGCGTCAAGAAATGCTTCACTGCACTTGGTGCGCCGTTTTCGGGCGCCAAGAGAGGCAGCCAGCTAGCAGATAGATCATCAGTGCATTGGTAATTAGGCTCGTCCGACTCGGTCCGATGCGGCCACTTGGCGGAACACGACTGGTGCTCATTACCGATCTTCCCTAATTCAGTTAATGTCGCACTGAATGAGACTGCCGCTTGATAGCCAATTTGCCCACTGGGTCTGCACAAGGAAGCTAGAAAGAGAGATCCGATGATGATGATGATGATGATGCTGTTGGAACCGTACTACCCAGACGCACTGGTTCTGCTAGAGCAAAAATGGAGTTCAAGTAGAAGCAGCACTGCCTGACTTCATGGCCAGTGAGAACGACTTTTGGCTGGACTACGGCACATTTGATTTATCGACTGCAACTGCAACTCGGGCTTTTTTATTGCTGCTCAACTATTAATTGCCAATTCCCTCTCTCTTCGTTTTCTTCTTTGCCCATTTTCATCCAGAATTGTGCTGCACTTCTACTGCTTTTCTAGCATACTGCACAAGGGCAATATTTGGCAATTGAAATTGAAAATTGGCTGCTCTTCTCTGAACAGCAGTTTGACCACTGCCATTTGTCGGATCTTCGCTTTCACTGCCGGCGAGCTTGCGGACAAATGGCCGAAACTCTAATCGGCAATTGGCAATTACCGATTTGAGCAATTTTCTATTTCCATGACAGTCATTTTACGGCCGCCTTGCTTTATGTGCACTTGCAGTTTACAGTGCAGCGCAAGGGCCGATTGTTACCTCATTGGTGGCATCGCAGAGTGAAACACTTACTAATACTGCACAAATTCCCAATGAAGATTTCTCTCAATGAACACACACTTGCTCGTTTTCACTCGTTTTCTCAATGGCCATTTGCGGTTCATCGTTTTTACTGTGGCCACTTTTTGGCGGCGGAAGAGCAAATTAAAAGCGACGCAAACGTGTCCGATTCCAGTCGATTGTTCAATCAATCAAAGGGCGCCAGTGTGTTTGGTGGCGCGCCGATGCAAGTGCCTGCCTGATTGCCTCCATTACGCCCACCACAGCAGCACGCCGCCGCCGTTGTCTCTGAAATGGCAGAGTGGTCTAGTAGTACTGAGGAGAACCGAAGCACCTCGACACCCTGTCTGTCAGTGGCAATTGAGGTCGCCAACCAATTTGCAGTAAAGGTCAGAGGTCAGTCTGCACAGTCTGCTCTGGCATTGTCCATCACCAATTTGCGCCCTTTTCCTTGTGCGCACTCCAATCGCCCATAATCGCTTGAATGTCCTAAATTCTCACGGAACTTACTCTGACTCAAGGCACTAAAGTGCAGCAAAAATGTCTGCTTGTGTGAGTGAGTAAGCAGCTCCGATCTGCCTTCTATTTGAATGCAAGTGCGTTAGTGCTGCTACTGCTGGCAAATTAAAATGTTTGAGCAAAGTAACTGCGTAATTGGCCGTTGGGAAATTAGCAAAGGCAGCAAAGGCAACTCTGACTTAGATTTGCAGCTTATAGGCACACTTGTGTTTGTGTTTGTGCGAGTCTGGAAACCAACTTGGAAATCACCATAAAGGCAATGAGGGAGCCGGTCTGGAAGAAGGAGAGGGAAAGAGCAAGGAAGCTGTCGCCGTGTTTGTTCGCCTAACGAGCGCACTTAATTGATGACAAGTCTTCGAATCTGCCACTGCGCCAGCACACAGTCACTGTAAATGTCATTAGCTTTCACAGCGATTACTACTAGGTAATGACGCCGATTGGCACAGGGCGCAGATAGGCCGCCTCTGTTTACCTTGGCAAGCTCCAGCAGCAGAATTGGCTGCTCACTGCAGCCAGAATCAGTGCTCCACTGGCAATGGGCGCCCTCCACATCACCACCACAAACAGCACTGCCGTTTTCGTCGTCGTGTTTGCTTTCCTCAATGACGCCTCAATCTGCTTTCAATCAAAGCAGCAATGCAATACAGAACGACATGCACACACATGAATTGACAGTGCACCACCTTGCATTAGTATCGATTGTCACGCAAAAGGACGATTGCTTTTGATTTGCCCAGCGCAGGACAGAGCTCTGCTGACACAGTGCACTATAGCTAGTGATCAGGCGGTGCAGGACAGTACAGTCCACAAGGCATTTCGCTGATCGCAAGTTTGTCTGTCGTACAGCAAATGCAACAGCACCTAATGGCGAGAGCTCGTGTTCACAGAAAAGGAAAAAACTGTGTGCAGCGAGCACTATGTCTTCTTTCCTTACCTCGATGGCTAATTACCCAAAGCCATATTCGTCGTCGTTGCTGGGAACATCACCACCATCACAAGTTCAGTGTGTGTATGTCTTTGTCGCATCACCCCCGTCACACCGCTGCTCTAATAGTCTTGCGCACGCACGCACCGATGCCTTCAGCTTCGGTGAGACTTGCAGGAGGAGGAAGAAGAAGAGAAGACCGTGATTTGACTAAATGCCCTACCGCACTGGAGAGCATTAGGTCTGCCTTTGCTTTGCCTTCTCTTGCTGTGTGCTCCAACGTGCATGTGCCAGCTAAGGGTGGCGCCCGAGTGGGCAATCTCGATCGATGGCCAGCACTACCACTACTACCTTGCTATCCTCTCACCTTGAGCAGTGTGATTGCATTTCCTCAGCCACTAATTGTCCTTTTCCTCCGTTTGCAGGTGCAAGTGCGCCCAGTGGTGACTACTACGCGACGGCAGCCGCCTACCACGGCTACTACGCCACCTCCAATGCCTACGGCGCCAACTCCCCCTACGGACAGATCGGCGCACAGAGTGGTCCCACCTCCATGCCTGCCAACCAGACACTCATCAGTAAGTGACCACCGCCCAATGATCCCCATTCTCAGCCTTACCTTACCTTAACCTTAACCTTAACCTTAACCTTAACCTTAACCTTTGCCCTTTCTCTCCCTCCCTGTACACCCACCAGACCCCTACTACTACAGTGCAGTGAATGTGGCAGCCATTCAACGCTCCTCAGCATCGCCTCCGGGCACCATCGGCCGTACCACTGTGGCTCTATAATAGGTGATGTCCAGCAGTAGCCAACCGCACGAAGACACCCGGAAATAGAGCCTCCTATTCGAAACTCATTGTCCAGACAGTTTGGCCGATTCACTTGAATCTTCCCCGCTGGAAGTCTCAACTACTCCCGCATCCTCCTTCTCCTGTCCACCGCTTGTCCAGTCACGCATTTTCCTCTTCTCCTCTTTCTCGCTGCCAGTTCAGCCGACCGGCATTTGTCCTACTTCGCACCTGTACATCACACTCCCGCAGTCATGTTCACTTTCTATTTATTTCCCGCTCCATTCTCACCTTGCCCATTTCATCTGTAATTATAGCTACTTTATTTTCTATAGATTATATGATCCTAATCTATTAATCTATTACCAATACTCAACCATTGAAACGGTGTAATAAAGATCACTTCAACTCTCAATTGACTAAAAGATATTTTTAATGACGGTGAAAAGTTTATACATCGCAGAAACAATAGTGAAGTGTTGTCAAAATATTGCGGTTAGAAAAAAGAGAAAACTGGCCTTTTGAAAGTTATTTTAAACGGCGTCCTTTTTCTCCAAACGGTGAATTGCTTCTTTAAGACAGTTTATGGCAGTTTCAATTTGGCCCTCACAAATGGCTTTGATTGCATTCTTACAGTAGAGTACTGCTTTTCCATTGAAGGAATCGTTCATGTTCATTCGACTCAAAAGTTCAGCCAAATCAAACTCCTCGACGAGTGAAACTTGAGGATGATCTTCATGTTTGTTTTTAAACGAGTTGTTGATGTTTTTATTTCCAGTGTTTTCATCTTTTTCCTGTACACCAGAAAAGCCATTTGTTTTCTCGTCAGATACAGAGTTGAGTTTTGCGTCATTTTGAGCAGCACTTTCTTTAATTTCTTTGTCAAGGGCGACAGCCTTAAACTTGCAGTACTTGATACGCTGACTGTTCAGTTCAGATTGGTCGCCAAAAAGAACTAGTAAGTGAAAAGTGGTATACGCTGCAATGTACAGCTTTTTTGCTAACTTCCAGCTAACTCCGATTTCAACTTCACGATCGCCTTTTAACAAAAGTTGGTTGCCATAGTCATCGAGAAACTTCTTTGACTTTGTTTCATTGAACATGTCATCTTCTTTTCCACGAACCTTCTTTTCCGCTTCAAGTGTGGTGATCAAAGAGTTGAGAGTGTTAGTCAGATTCGTGTCTTTGACTTCGTTTTTCTGCTGAGCTTCGATACACTTTTCAACGACATAGAACAACGACCAGTAGCTGACAATGGGATTGGTGGCAAGACAGTCACGAGCCAGCTTGAGGAATGTCAGATACGGTTTGAGTTGTTTCTCTTCAATAAGCTTCGATATCATTTCATCGTTCATTTTGAAGCCGAAGTAGGAGCAAAAGAGCAGAGAGAATGAATGGACAGTTTGCGACCTTATACGAGATCAGACAATGAAAGAGCAAGGTGAGATTTACTTGTTTGTTGATTCAATGTCATCTTAAGCGACAGCTTCTATGAACAGCGCACGCTTTCCTTTGCGCAAAAAAATCGCTCAATTTTGTTTTTTTCTATCAAAAACAGAAAAATGAAAAATTGCCTTTTACTTCTGCTGAATCAAAAAGCATCTCTAACTCCAAATGTCTGAAATAAAACTCCAAACTTGGATTGAAGATTGTTGTTAACTTGTTTGCTAACCTGCTGGGGACGCCATTCACCGTTGGCAACTGAAAATGGTTACTTGATGGCGGCATTTGACGTCCTTTCCTAAAGTGCACTGATGGTGGTGTCAACCTGGCTGTGTCTTGTCCACCGTGCTTCAAGTCCATCAATCATGTAAGTTTTTCTCTGTGAGTTGTTGTTTTAACGCCAATTTTCCCAACTCTACAAAAATCCCGTCCTCCTCTTGACTTGCCTGGCAGTGGCAATTTATCAGTCACAGACCTCATCCCGATGGCAATCATAATTGTGATCTATTCCTTTATGGTTGCTCATTAATGATCTTTCTCCTTGATTGTTTTTCTCTACTCGTTTCTTTCCTTAACTTCACTTTGGTGCCTACATGCCTCACTGTCACCTGTTATAGCCACCATCTAACTGGCTGATTGTGCTGTGGCAGCTGCCGTCTCGATAATTGGAAAGGACTTCAGTTCTCAGTGCCATTTGTCGCTGCTGGGCGCCATTGCCGTCTCGCGCCTTATCTGCCTACACTCGAACTCATTTGCCGTCTCTGTCGGTGCGTCTCAACTATGCCTGAGAACAGAGTAACCAGTGGTCTTATGTAAAGTTCACTGCGACCACTGGTTGTTAGTCACTGCGATGATTTGTCATTGCTCTCCCTCCCTGTGTTGCTTTCTTAACGTCCAATCGAAAGGTATCGTTCTTTCGGCCAGCTTCCATCATTGTCTCTCCCTCTCTTTCTTTTTTCCCTGCTTCCAGATTTCTCTCAAGCGCAAAAATCCTCTATTTTTTGCATTTTCCCTTCTCACTATCTGTATATTTGTTTGTTTCTTGCCATTCTTCTTCTGTCTTTGTAAATGGGCTTTTTTAATTTTATTGTCACATGTTTTAATTAACATCACTCACTTGCCAGGCAATAGTCGCCGTCGACTGGACTGAACTGGAAAAACAAGTTCGATCCTACGCGTCTAATGTCAGGTTTTTTTGTCACCGGTTTTGTCAGTCTCATGTTCGACTATTGTCTCAAAAACATTGCCACTCTGTCTATTGAATGAAGGCACATTGATTTCCATAACCTTTGTGCAGCCACTACTTCTATTTTACAGTGATTGTACAATTTTTCTCTAACAATCTGTTTATCTAAGTAGTTATAGTGCTGTCATGGATTATTTACACACTAATTAGGATGCCTTGTGTGGACACCAGTTTGTGCATCGATAAGCAGCCAGATCGGCCGGCTCCCATATTATAGGCCTTGATTGGGAGCATCAACAACAACCGCAGCAGAAAGACCACTACTTCGTGGTCTCGCCTTGCCTCTTCGTGCACACACACAGGCACACATAAGTACACCTGATCTTTTCTCCTTCATCTTTCCTTGCTACTCTTCATTGGCGCGGTGGCGTGAGTAGCTAGGCGACGGTGGCCACTTTCGCATCCCTTGCCAGCTCATTAAGTGACCCTCACCGAAGGGAAGGCAGTTGTTGTGTGGAGTGAAGTAAACAGTGATCAGTGCACTTGCACTCCTCGATGCCCTGCAGTCTTTTCCTGCACTCTTCAGTGTCCCCTTACCCTTATAGAGAGTGTACACCTCACCCAATGGCGTGATGGCCATCACTTGCTCCAGATTCATAGGGTGACACTCGGCCAGAAGCTCAGAAGCAGGTGTTTGCATCGACTCACTGCTGCTTACTTCTATTTATAGCCTTTTTTGTTATAATTACTTTGTTGTTGACAGAAATGATTGTCCGCAATTCCAGCATTGCTCACTTGATTAACTCATTTGCCTAACTGCAAGTGGCTTCTTCCATGCTTCCACAAGGCATGGTCAATTAATTAAGCAGCAGAGTGAGTAGTAGTGCGATAAATCACAGGGCCAGTCGGTTTGCTAAGTGTCCCCCTGTCCAATGACAAATTGCCGATGCCAGAGTGAGAGCAGCCATTGGGTTTCTTGTTGTTGCTATGTTGTGACTTTCGAAACGAATTATCTGCCAATTTAATGCATTTTTAATTAAGCGCCACAATTGCAGCACTGACAAGACTGCTTCGCTGGAATCACTGCCAACTGACGACATTGACATCACCTCGTGTGCTGGAAATTGGCCATTGCCAATCGATGATTTATTGAGGCAGAGGCAGAGATAGAGCTTCAGCAATTAGCAGCATAGTTGCCAACGACCAGTGGAAAGTTGAGAGTCGGCAACTCTTGGCGACAGTTGCACTGGCACAAGTTTTCTGCAGTTGGCGAGGCCTCCTCAGTTCACGAGGCGACATATGGACAGCGCGTGGGAGATGTGATGGGCACTGTGCTTCGGCCTAACACGCCATCGCCATCACCATCACCATGACTCGTCTTGGTTGTACCTGCCTTGCATCGGTGATGAGCTGGCGCAAGTGCTCACGCACACACACACTGGTCTTGCTTTCATTTGCCGGTGTCCTCCTCTTCTCGGCCGTCTTCTCCCACCGACTACCACCTACCTCCTCAAGTCCTCAACTGGCAACAGCTTGACAGTTGCATCACGGTCGCAGCTCGTTACGTGCATCGTGCAATCACTCTCTAATTACTGCTAACGACCATGACGACTACTTTGACGCTAGACTCAGCTACTGTCTTCAGACACTGTCGTGTGCGCCAATGGACAGAGAGCTCTCTTCCTCATGGGCTCTCCAAATCGCTCTCTCTCCTTTCCTCAACATGGTCAGTGCTTCTGCTGCTGTACCAAAGTGTCGAACTCAAAGTGTCGGTGTGCTGAGCGGCAATCCATTAGTAATTTCCTAAGAAGGCGTAGTTTGCAAACGTTCTTCGATTGACGTTACTAACTTTCTGTTTTCAGGAGAGTCAATTGAACGGTTTCACCGATTGGACATTTTTGTTTGTCAGCCCGATTGTTGCATCGCGATCGGTCGGTCGGTCGGTCGGAGTGCGTATGTGTGTTTGTATGTACGGCGACTGAAGATTGTGTTGTTTGCAGTAAAGTCACTCAGTTGTGTCAATGACATCTGAGTGAAGCACCACCAGCAGCAGCTCTACCAATACAGCTGCTGCGGTTGTCGTCGCCGCCACGACCACAAGCACTACTAGCACATGTCAGACAATCGGAGAGTCGAATGTGTCGCCCAGTTGCGCTGTTGTTTACTTCTTCTGTTCCATTTGTGCTGATTATTATTTATGTATTTAGAGTTGGAAAAGATTTAGCCTCATATCTTGGTGGAAAAATCATCATAATAATGACGCCTTGTCAGTGCTCTCTGTGGAGCACCGTTGGCCATTGCTTGTAAGACTGAAATCGGCAGCAGTCTTTCTCTCTAATTGCTATCAAAATGGTTCGTTGGTTCTGTTTGG